TTCCGTACCATGATAGGTTGTCCTTGAATGTTGATGGTTAGTACTACACGAGGGTCGGAGTAAACCGCACTTGCTCCGACCCCAATTATTTGTTTGTTTGTTTGTTTGTTTTTGAATTTCGCGCAAAGCTACACGAGGGCTATCTGCGAAAGCCGTCCCTAATTTAGCAGTGTAAAACTAGAGAGAAGGCAGTTAGTCATCACCACCAACCGCCAACTCTTGGGCTACTCTTTTTACAAACGAATATTGGGATTGACCATCATATTATAACGCCCTCACGGCTGAAAGGGCGAGCACGTTTGTTGGGATGGGGATTCGAACCCGCGACCCTCAGATTGCGAGTCAAGCATCCTAACCACCTGGCCATGCCGGGCCCTAACCAGGATATGCCCTCCAATGGCACATCGATATGTCTGCGAACTAATAACGCTAGAAACCGGATGGGCAGAGCACAGACAACCCGTTGTGTAGCGTTGTGCTTAATTACAAACGAACTGATCAGGATACTATTAACATAATATGAAATGATGTCAAGTTTGTATATGGATTTTATCCTTCCCAACTGTTAGTGTAAGGTACGTAGAACTGCTTTAAAGCAGTGTTAAGTTTGGTTTAGTGTTTAACGTAGTAGAGTGTGAACTTGAGAGTCCGCGGTTCGAGTTCCGTTACCACAAAATCGCCTTCCGCACTCTTGGACCGTAGATGCGTTATAAGAGTGAAGGTTACATCCTGCCATTCAATTATAGTAGCTCAAAAATTGGCGGCAGGTGCTGAAAACTAGCTGTCTTTTCTCTAATTTTTATAGTTAAAAAGTAGGGACGTCTAATTTCCGAAACAAACAGTAATGAGCGTTTCGGTAATAGGTCGTAAAGTAAGGTTCCTTCTTTCGGTTTACGTAAATTGTATGCCCGTTTATTAGAAAAACATAAAGTTTGATTTAGGAAAAAAACATAGATTTGTTTTAAACGTGACAAGTCCAGGAAAAAGAGGAAAATCATGTTTAAGACTTTGTTCAATTATTAAACATAATTAATTATTAATTAACTCACTCGTTCTCACACCGATAGCACATTTTTGATATAAATTCCGGACATTTCACTGTTATTATCACGAAAAAGGATAACAAGCAACTGAAAAATGCATATAGAAACGAAATCTGATACCTCTCTCCGCTTTACGTCATACATCTGAGCGATGCTGCTGTATGCCATATACGAATTTCTAAGCGATGCCGCTGTACGTAAAACTACGACTTTTTAAGTGATGCCGCTGTACATCCTACCACCACTTTCTGAGCGATGCCGCTGTACGTAAAACTATGACTTTTTAAGCGATGCCGCTATACGTAAAACTACGACTTTTTAAGCGATACCGCTGTACATCCTAACACCACTTTCTGAGCGATGCCGCTATACGTAAAACTATGACTTTTTAAGTGATGCCGCTGTACATCCTAACACCACTTTCTGAGCAATGCCGCTTTACACCATACCACGTCTTTCTGATAGATGATTGACTATCACGAGATAAATTCGCGAGCTACATGAATATACCACGTAGGTGAAACTTGTTTGGACTTGTTTTTGAAGACCACAGCTTACTAATCGTGGTTTTAACACTAATTAATTGTTTGTATGCTTTTAACACTGACTAATTCTTTGTCTGGTTTTAACACTAACTAACTGTTTGTCTAGTTTTGAAACTGACTAATTGTTTGTCTGGTTTTAACACTGACTAATTCTTTTTCTGGTTTTAACACTAACTAATTGTTTGTCTGGTTTTAACACTAACTATATGTATGTCTGATTTTAACACTAACTAATTGTTTGTGTGGTTTGATACTGACTAATTGTTTGTGTGGTTTTAACACTAACTTATTGTTTGTGTGGTTTGATACTGACTAACTGTTTGTGTGGTTTAGAAACTGACTAATTGTTTGTCTGGTTTTAACACTGACTAATTATTTTTCTGATTTTAACACTAACTAATTGTTTGTCTGGTTTTAACACTAACTAACTGTTTGTCTAGTTTTAAAACTGACTAATTGTTTGTCTGGTTTTAACACTGACTAATTCTTTTTCTGGTTTTAACACTAACTAATTGTTTGTGTGGTTTTAACACTAACTATTTGTATGTCTGATTTTAACACTAACTAACTGTTTGTGTGGTTTGATACTGACAAATTGTTTGTGTGGTTTTAACACTAACTAATTGTTTGTGTGGTTTGATACTGACTAATTGTTTGTGTGGTTTTAACACTAACTAATTGTTTGTGTGGTTTGATACTGACTAACTGTTTGTCTAGATAATGTTATAAGGATTGTATACCACGGATTTACAAAAATAATGATGCTTCAACTGCACAAACATAGAGAGTCATTTCTTATAGATTTATCTTATATATCACGAAAGTTCCTTATCTATGGTTAAATATCTTAGTCTAATTCTTTGTAAATGTAAAATAAAGCCGAAAACCTAGTCTTCACCGGAATTTAAGAAAATGTGTATAAAATGATAGATTTCCTCGCTAAGCCTAAACGTGTGAATTGTTTAATTTTGAGATTAAAATCCATAAATTCATTCTATACAACTTGAAGACTGTAATAAAAACAACAGTTATGTTTGTCTTTGTCAAACAACAGTTATGTTTGTCTTTGTCAATTTTAAATGCGGTCAAACATTTTAATGGTTGATCTGTTATACGGTTGTTTTTCTAAAAGTGGGTAAGTGTAACTTTTTGTTTATTAGCAGTCATTGAGTATTCAAGAAATCGTAGCTTATGTTTATTAGCAGTCATTGAGTTTTAAGAAATTGTAACTTATGTTTATTAGCAGTCATTGAGTTTTAATAAATTGTAACTTATGTTTATTAGCAGTCATTGAGTTTTCAAGAAATCGTAGCTTAAGTTTATCAGCAGTCATTGAGTTTTAAGAAATTGTAACTTATGTTTATTAGCAGTCATTGAGTTTTCAAAAAATCGTAACTTATGTTTATTAGCAGTCATTGAATTTTAAGAAATCGTAACTTATGTTTATTAGCAGTCATTGAGTTTTAAGAAATCGTAACTTATGTTTATTAGCAGTCATTGAGTTTTAAGAAATTGTAACTTATGTTTATTAGCAGTCATTGAGTTTTAAGAAATTGTAACTTATGTTTATTAGCAGTCATTGAGTTTTAAGAAATTGTAACTTATGTTTATTAGCAGTCATTGAGTTTTAAGAAATTGTAGCTTATGTTTATCATCAGTCATTGAGTTTTAAGAAATCGTAACTTATGTTTATCAGCAGTCATTGAGTTTCAAGGAATCGTAACTTATGTTTATCAGTAATGCTAGCTGTTGACAAGTGTCTTACTTATGAAGTAATTGCGTTAATGGATCGGTTACAATTGAATATTTTGCAGTGTAGAACCTTCATAAAGATGCATCATACATCCGTCCAACCAAGTGTCCTGTTTCAGTAACTCTCACAAGCCATGGAGCCAACTGCCACGACTTTGTCCAAGGACGAAGTAGCTCTGCGATTCCAAGATAACTGGAGAGCTAATAATCCAGAAGATGCCGTTTCCGAAGGAACCTCCCCTCACGTGGACGATGGATTAACCAGTTTAAACTGGTTACAGAATCTTAATATTATGACCAAACTCGGAGCTCCTACTCCCCCGACACCTCCCGCCAGTCCCATTCCTCACTTTATCACTAAGGGAAGTGAGAAGCCAGGTTATGACGAAAACAACTGGATAGCCGATAAAGTTGGCGAAGAAATTGATTACAAGTCGAACGGATCTCTGAAGCCTCCGTTTTCTTATGCAACCCTTATATGTATGGCGATGAAGGCCAATAAAAACAAGATGACTCTGTCTTCAATTTACAAGTGGATAAGAGATAACTTCCTGTATTACAAAAACGCCGATCCCAGCTGGCAGGTAAGAATTCCAGAATTTTATTTAGACTGATTTAAACGTCTTCAAGTATAGAGCGTAAGGATGTCGCACAAAGTTACGTAATGTTATTGAAAGATAGGCTAGCTGCGTCCAATTAAAACTAAGTCTATATTGTTAGAATTACACTAAAAAGTGACTGTCTTGACATGTAGAACTGTGTATTCTTGAGACTGTCACGAAGTGTGGCTGTTTATAAGTTTATTTGTATATTGTTAGAATTACACTACAAAGTGACTGTCTTGACTGTGTATTGTTGAGACTGTCACGAAGTGTGGCTGCTTATAAGTTTATTTGTCTATTGTTAGAATTACACAACAAAGTGACTGTCTTGACACGTAGAACTGTGTATTGTTGAGACTGTCACGAAGTATGGCTGTTTATAAGTTTATTTGTATATTGTTAGAATTACAATACAAAGTGACTGTCTCGACATGTAGAACTGTGTATTGTTGAGACTGTCGCGAAGTGTGGCTGTTTAAAAGATTATTTGTATATTATTAGAATTACAATACAAAGCGACCGTTTTCAGATGGCGAATCAACCGTGACTGTATCCCAAGCTAAGAATTCACTATATAATGTTAGTGTTATTTTTCAAATCAACTATTATAACATGCAGAATTAACTGTGTGCTGTTGAGATTGTAATGAAATATGGTTGTACCCACGTTTAAAACTAAATATCGAACTACTATTGATTTATTATTACTTCTGATCTGAATTCTAAAATTTCGGCAGAGTTCGTTAAAAATTGTGAAAAAAACAAAAAACACTTCGTTTGAAATTTCATCGCACCCTTTGACACCCGCTATTCTTTCTATCATTCTTATTCTTTCTCTCGCGTTACGTGGAGGAATGAACTTGTTTTTAAGCCAAAATCAATGACATTGTCGAACGACCAGATGTATGTAAATTAATAAAGATTCTTTAATTAAAACAAAGTAGCAGTGCTCATTTATAATCACGAACTTTTCTAATCTACTTTACAGGTCAATATCGTAAACTATGAAAATAAGCTGGGAATGGGATTTATTCTACGATGCATTAATAACTGATATTTTGTTGTTGCTGTTGTTGTTGTTGTTGCCAATCATTGTCGTTTCGTTTTGAAAATTCTGAGCTCAGGAATGGAATCAGTACACTTTCCGTATGGTTTCTGTAGCTGATTCCAAAATTGCTTCGCTCGACAGGTACAAACTCAGGTGACTGTTTAACAAACCGAACATGTTTTTTTTTTGTGCGTGTGTGCTATGTCGTCCCTGTGCGCATACGCATTTGTGTGATTAGTGAGGAGGTTTCGATTTGTTTAAACTGTGTGAACCAGCAGGTGTTACCTGCGCGTGACGTTCATCTGGTGCTTTTCTATATGTTCCTCTACCTTACCTGCTTCCCGCTTTAAAAAAAAAAAAAGTGGGGGGACAGACGCATATGACTGGTGCCATGAAAGTAAACACAGGGGGAGTAGCTTGAGGAAATAGGACGTATCTTTATAGTCTTCTGCGTGAGGAAATATATTCGACGTGAGGAAGCGTGGCATGCTCTTAGGGCGTGGTTCCCGAGGAAATGTAACGTGTTTATGAAGTATTTTCCGGAGAAGTTTTTACGATAAACGATACATATCTTGGTTAAAAAAGCCATCACGCCAAACCCAGTTACAGAATGAATTATTATTTCATAATTCTTCGATTATTTTTTTGTCACTGTTACACGTACTGGACTAGTATTTTCAATGAGTTTTCGTCTTTACAGTTTTCCTCGTATTGATAGGTATCCACCAATGATAAGGTTTCTTACATAATGAACCACGAAATTAATGTCACCTTATCGGATTTGTTTTGTTTATTATGAACTCCGCACAAACCTAAACGAGGGCTATCTGCGCCACCTGTCCCTAATTTAGCAGTGATAGACTAGAGGGAAGACAGATAGTTAACACCACCCATCGCCAAATCTTGGGATACTCATTTATCAATGAATAAATGGGTTGACTGTAACATTTTAACGCCCCCAAAGCTGAAAGGGCGAGCATGTTCGGTGACTGGGATTCGAACTTACGACCCACAGGTTGCGAGTCGAGCGCCCTAACCACCTGGCCATGTCAGGTCCTTAACTACCTGGCCATGTTCGGTCCTTAACTACCTGGCCATGTCGGGCCCTTAACCACCTGGCCATGGCGGATCCTTAATCACCTGGCCATGCCGGGTTCTTAACCACCTGGCCATGTTCGGTCCTTAACTACCTGGCCATGTCGGGCCCTTAACCACCTGGCCATGGCGGGTCCTTAACCACCTGGCCATGTCGGGTCCTTAACCACCTGGCCATGTCGGGCC